TTCTGCAATTTCCTGATGTTTGGTGCTTAAACTTGTATGAATTTGCTAAAAGTGAATGATATTCAGTGATTCGTTGCTTGTATGAATCTGCTCTGCCGCTGGCCTGCTGCCGGACCGGATCCATCTGCTTTGCTGCCGCTAGAGCGATTTGTTGCTGTTACCAAGTCATCTGCTACCATTGCTATTGCTACTGTTCCCCGTGGGGAACGAGAACAGGGGGCAAAATCTGCCCCCCCTAAAAAAATCCCCGCGGGGATCCTTGTCCCTGTGACTCACGGGGACAGGGATGGGGAAGGGGTCCCCGGCCCCGCGGAGCCCCATTGACATCCCTATGTACCCATCACTACAGCATTTTTCCTCCAACCGTAGATATATAATAAAAATCTGTAGGTATATGCCTCTCAAGACTTATACCTACAGTAGAAAAAGTGTAAGTATATGTCTCGTAACTATAGATATCTAGCTACATTTTTGTATGTATTCTTACACTTTTTCTACACGTTTTGTAGGTAAAGGTTTAATGAGCCTATACCTACATCTAAAATACCACAAGTAAAGAGAAATACCTACGCTTATGAGCCATAGGTAAATATTAATAACAACAAAATAGTAGTTACAATATTACCTTTTAGCTTTATTATTTGTACTTGCCAAAAAGTATTATTTAACAACACCATAAATTGTGACCAAAAGTTATATTTTGCAACAATTATAATTATTTTTGAAAATAGTATTTAGAAACAACAAGTTGTTGTTAAAACTAATATAAAAAAACAATTTCAATTATTATTTAAAGAAATATTTGTAACGATGAAAAGTTGATATAAAATATGTATATTGCAACAATATTAGTTGTTGCTAAAAGTGATTTTGTCTAACTATTTTAATTGTTTCATAAAATAATATTTTGCGATGAAATTAATTGTTGTGGTAACCAATATTTCACAGTGAGTAATTGTTGGGAAATAAATGTTTTAGCAACAACTGAAATCATTACAAATTACATTTTTTGCAACAATTACTGTAACAAAATATTGTTTAACAAAACCATTCACAATTGTTAAAAAATACCTCTTTTAGTGATAATTAAAACATTGCAAAATGCACTTTTTTGCAACAACTTTTATCATTATAAATATTTTAAAAATATATTAGTTGTTATTAATAAATATT